CATACCACATGGCATGTGATTCTTATGATTTATAACCTACCTCCATGGCTATGTATCATAGTGGAGGTATATTTTTACAAAGAGATATTCAGTTTTGATTACATTAGTGATGATATTTGATAAAACAATTTAAGGGGTATATCATGATATATATTCGTATTTTCTTTCCATGTGTAGTGTCCTCGTCAGCGTAACAGTATAGATTGCGGCTATTTCATGTTGAGGTTTATGAAAGAAACTATTCTTTTGAATCGATTAGAGATTCCATCCACGGTATGGATTTCTAACTTAGGAATTACATACTATTTTCATATTTGTGTTTCTCATAAAATGACATATTATTTTAACTAAATCACATACTATGTTATATTATTACATATGTAGTACTTTGAGGAATTCAATTGTGCACATTACTCAAAAGATCAATTGGATGAACTTATGAAGGAATGGTGTCAATTTATTATCGGGTTGAGAATTTTATAAGCTAAGGTATATTGTCTTATTTCCTTTGATGAGAACTTTCTAGTTTTGAGTATAAATTAAATTCGAATAAAGTGCAACGTTAATATTATCATGTTATGATTTCGATCATTTGATTTTTTTTCTTTCCAGGTTTATAGGTGCATGTGTAGAAGATAGAGCTAAGATATTCATGTTGTTGTTGTTTCATGAGAATTCTCGAAGATAGTAAAATGTAGATGTAACATCAATTTTGAATTTTAGGATTTTTAACTTGTAGAATTTTAACTTGTATCATAAATTTTGCAGTTGTTGTTGTATATATCATCAATTTATATATATGTGTAATTTTTATATATGCATATTTTATTAGTATGAAGCTACCAAATATGATGCATATATGGTGAAAACCTGGTTCAAATATGGTTAAAATTCTGATTAAAATGCATTATATATATTGGACAGCTTTTGTAAGTCAAAATAGGTATTTTATTAAAAAAAATCGTGACCAATAGACAGCACTTTAAGAGAAAAGCGCTGTAAAAACTAAAAAAAAGCCCTACCTAAAGTGGGAAAGCACTGTCTAAAGTGGGGAAATAGACAGCACTTTTAAAGGAAAGTGATGTCTAAAGTCTAACTAAAAAAATAACAAAGCGCTGCTAAAGGGGTATATAAAAAAGCGCTGTCTATTTTAAAAGCGCTATCTAAAGGGGGTGTATAAGAAAGCGCTTTTAATGTAAAAGTGTTGCCTAAAGTGGGCATAAGAAAGCGCTTTTACATTTAAAAAAGTGTTGTCTTTACTTTTAGCAGCGCTGCTTTAGGCAGCGCTTTAAAGCGTTGTTAAAAGCCAAAAAAAGCGTTGCCTAATGTCTTGTTTGGCATAGTGTATCAAGACGTTCAGGACACGTCTTTCTTGTGTGAACCCCCTTCTTATAGTGATAACATCTAATTGCAGAAACATCACCACCATAAGACTTCTGGTGATTTTTACCCTTCTTTTTCTCAAATCTAACATCTTTCTTTGAGAATTTTCCCTTAACGAACAATCCTTCACCAACAGATGATGACTTGTGCTCCTTTCGTTCGTTCAAATTCTTCGAGTACAAGGCTGATTGAACTTCTTCAAAGATCAAGGACTCTCTTCTATACAAGAGAGTATGGGTGGGAATAGGATGGGCCGAGCTAGACTTTGTCAAGCCTAAATTTGTCTTGCTAAAAATTTCAAAGTTTAAGTCTGGACTATAGTCTATCATAGGCTTATTTTAGGCCCGATTCAGACATTTTCAAATGTCTGATTAGTCTGTTAGCCTACTTAAAAATCTATTTCATTTGAAGATATGTAAATTACCAATTTAATTAATGTTTATATAGAAGAAGAAAAACTAAAAGATCAATTATTCAAAAAGTTTGTTTGCATTGAGTTATTTTAGCTTATAGAGTAACATAAGTTTTGTGAGACTATTTGCTTACGAAAACTTATAAAAACAACTTATGAATCTATTCAAAAGTAGTTTTCATTCTATTTTCATAAGTTCTTCAAGATATTTAAGTTTAATTTTTGTAATTTAATTTAAAGTACAAAATACAATATAATAATAAAAAAATATTTTGATTATTTAAATAGGTCGGTTTGATAGGTTTAAAGGTTTTTTTGATGGCATGATGCCTAGCCTTTTTAGCTAAATAGACTTATAAAAAAGTCTAGGTCTTTTCAATTTAAAAAATAAGTTTGGCCTAACATGTTAGTTGGCTTGACCTATTCTCATCTCTACAAGAGAGTTTCTTTGAAGTGGGCATGAGATCTGGGTAAAGCACACAACAACAACGACGACGACGACGCTTGATCTTCACCAATGATGGTAACATCAATATTCTCCATATCAAGAATCATTTTATTAAAAATATCCAACTGCTCTATCAAGATTTTCTCTTCACTCATCTTGAATGAATACAGAGCTTGTTTCAGGAAGAGACCAATTACAAAAGATTTGGTCATGTATAATCCTTCAAGTTTCATCCACACACCTGCGACCGTTTTCTCCTTCGAGACCTCCCATAGAACCTTATCGCCAATGCTCAAAACAACGACGGCGTGGGATTTGTCAATTATCATCGCCTTCTCCTTCTCTGTTAAGGTAACATCCATCTTCGTCGATCCTTTCAATGCTTATACAAACCCTATTGAACTAGAAGAGCCTGCATCTTCAAGCGCCATAAACTGAAATCATTCACTTCGGTGAATTTCTTAATCTCATATTTCATTAACGACATCTTGATCCACGCTTATCCCACAAGTTTATTATAACAAACGATACCAATAACAATGTAAATTTATGATAAAGAGAGGGTTTCTTAGTTGACCAAGAAATAATTGAGTTAACAAATGGGAGAGAAGAGAGAAGAAGAAGAAGAAAATTAAGACCGGTTAAAACCGTTATTCTTTACTTTTTCATTAGGTTTTATGATTACAAGTATTATAAAATAACAACCAACTTTAACCTTGACCTCTATTAACATGAGAGAGCAATCTATTTATAGACTCTAGCTATGTATATTATGTACACATGGTATACATAGCTAAATTAAACAATAAGCTAATTTAAACAAATGTGCATGTTAGTGTAATCTTCGTCTACAACATGTATATCTTTGACTAGTGTCAAACTAAGAAGTCACCCTTGTCGAAACTAGAATTTAATCCAAATACCACATGTCCTGATGCAAGTAACTCTCTAATCTTGTGAAACTTCACATAAATATACTTGGTACTACCATGATACATCTGATTGTTTTCAAAATAAATGATACTCTGAATATCACATTGCAATCAATTCCACATTGCTCAACAACCAATTCTCTCACCCAATGCTTCTTTGATAACTTCACATGCTGCCATTTACTCTATATCAGTTGTCGACATGACCACTATGGATTGAAATAATTATTTTCAACAAGTAGGTTCTCTTGCTACAGTAAAGACATACCTTGTTGTAGACCTTTTATCATCCATATCACCAACATAGTTTGTATCAACATATCCTACAGTTTAAATATTGTCATGTCCACTGCTAAACATGATACTATGATCCATTGTATCCTTCAAATACCTGAAACTCCACTTAACTACTTTCCAATCACGCTTTACTGATTTGAATATAAACTTATAAACTTGACTTACAGTTTGTGCTAAATCAGGTCTAATGCATATTATATCATACATTAAACATGTGACATATATTTAACTTTTGTATCTGTCTTTAGACACTGATGTAATGAGAGTTTAAAGTGATTCACCAATAGATTATTCATAACTTTCAAATTATTCATGTCAAATTTGTCTAGCAACGTTTCAACATAGATTTTTTGAAAGAGTCGTATTTTTCTACACTTATCCATATAAATTTTCATATAAAAAATCTTCTTAACAACACCTAAGTCTTTCATATTAAACTACTTTCCCAACATTTTTTCCAGTTTGTTTACATCATGTAAATGAATCATAGCAATGAATAATAGCAATCTATATATCATTAACATATAGTAACAAAAAAAAAAAATCTATCATCATGGCTACTAACATAAACACAACAATCACACTCCTATTTTTGATAGTAATCTAAATCATGTGCGAATCAAAACGTTTGTATCATTATTTTGGAAATTGTTTTAAATCATACGAAACCCTCTTCAATTTATAGACTAGTCTCCCTAACTGTTTCATGTAAATTTGTAAATTTTCTCATCTGAAATATTATGAAGAAATTATGCCTCTATATCCATCTATTCTAAATTGTGCCAGCTGACTATCAAAGTTAACATCGCCGCCTTGATAGAAGTATGTGGGACGATCGAAGAAAAACAGAATCAAGAAAAAGACTTTCAATTGTACTGTTCAGATGGCAGGCCTAGCCATACAATGTCTGAATTATTGATATCAATAACTATACCACTAATTTGAATAGATTCTTCCTACTAATTAGCATTTTCGCTTGCCTAAGGTAGGCAGGAGTAGCAAACCAATTTCAATTAGTTAAAGCACACTTCAGTTTATCTTTACACGTAGTTTCCTTTTTTTCCTATTAAGATGTTGAAATTATCACTTAATGCAAAATACTTATTCAAGGATAAAAAGACAGAAGTTTATAGCACCAACCCAATAAGTGGTTTTTTCGTTTTACACAATACTCTAAGAATTACCTTATTAATTTATGTTTAGATCAAAGAATACCATACTAATTTAAGTTGTTTCTTGCAAATTTCACTTATACTAAGTGTCGATAGACCCAGTGTGAAGCAATGGATGATTATCCATTCACTTAGGACACTAAGTTAACAAATGATCAAATGTGGTTAATTTCTAGGGACAAAGGATTACTAAATTCAATCAACTGATTTCAAAACCAACTACTTTGCACAAATTTTAAACAACACAGTTAGACAATTTAAACAGAAAAACAAAAACTTTACAAGCAAATTGTTCGTTATCTCTCCACAAACTACATCACAGTACTAAAATAAAAGCACTTAAATCCTTCTAGATATCAGTCTCTCCTCTTCTTCTTCCTTTCATTCCTCTCATTTTTGTCGGATGAATTCTTCAACTGTGAGAAGAAAATAGATGTCAATACAAATCATCTGAATTCGGAAACAAGAAAGAATAATGCAAACTAAGAAACAAAAAATGTTGAGTACAACACACCAATATAACAAGAATCCGCACAAAGATTGCAGCCAAACCAGTGAAAAAGGTCAAAGCATGTTTCACATAATCCAGATCACCCAAGTGAGCTCTTTCAATTATTTCTTGGGTGTCTACTACAATGTAGCCCACAAACACCAGAAGTCCAAAATACAACTGCGAAGCAGCAATTAAGATCTCAGCAAGTAATTTAAAAATAAGCATATTATATATATGAAGCACTGACTCCACACCGACATAGACACCTGAATACGACCCAAACACGACACCGATAATGTCAAAGACATAGAACACTAACACCAGACTTCATTTATCTATCTATTATTAAGTGTTAAAAAATTATTAAGTGTTAAAAATTCTAATAAGATTAATGTTTCTAATTTTCATTGATTGCATTGCTTCAATGCAAATTTAATCTATATTTAATCTTTAAGATGTGTGAGGTTTGTCCTATAGGCTGAAGGACAGAAAAATATCTGAATTCGACACGTGTTGTATGTGTCGGAAATGTTTGACACTGATTCAAAGGGCACCAAAGGAAAGAAAAAAACTATTTTTTTGAAATACTTGTTCAAGTTTAAGTGTCAGACACCGTGTAGCATGTTGTAAATACAAATATTATTAGTAAGGATGTAGCAATACAGAAACACACTAGCAAGAATGATAACATGATTCACATACCTCAAACTGAAAGAGAGTAGTAGAACCCCCAAAGACAGAGGAAGCAAAATGCAACCACATTAGAATAGACAGCCCAGAAGAAAGCAAGCCACCAAGGTAGAGATACTCCCTACGCCTTGCAACCAAAGCTGCTGCTGAGAAACATGCAAAAGCCAAGAAGGTTGCCACAAATGCAGTAACAATAAGGCTGGAACAATGAAAGAAAAATGTCATAAAATCATCCAAAACTCAAAATTAGCTATATGAGATAACTACCGGTGTAGTTAGAATCAGAATGATTCCGGGCAAAAATAGTCTTACATTGCTTAATATTCAAATCAAAATTATTCCAGTCAAAATAGTCTTACATTGCTTAATATTTACATTGCTTAATATTCGAGACTAAAAGTAATTTATATACAACACTCGTACTCCTCAACTCAAGGAGACACATTTTCACATTTTTTACAAGACAATGCCTCGTAACCGCAGTGATGTTGACTTGAGATCGACCAAATCAAAGTTCACAGTGCTAACGGCTACAATGTGTATTGCAGCAACCACAATTGCAACACCCGTATTCGCGACTATGATTCAAAACCATGGCCACTGCACGCAATTCTAAAAGCATAGAATTGATTCTGGAATGATTTTGAGATGTTGGGTTCTTCTAAAGTACTAGTGTTGATACTATCTGAATATTTAATTCTACCTAAAAGTACAATTTGTAGCTTTTGAATTTGAACTTACGTAAGTTGTTGTTGAATTCATTTCAACATTCAACTCTTAACCGGAATCAATTTTCGCACAACCAAACATACACTAAATGAAAATGCACAATAATAATAATAACACTAATCAACAAAAGCACTTTGAATTACAACAAAGTCATACCTAGCATCAATGACAATAGCCAAATCAATCAAGGGTCCAATAGAGGCACCTTGAAAGAAAGCTGAAGCCATCAACAAATACACCCTCTTCCGCTGCAAAAAGAAAAAGGAGTGAGACATAAAAGTTAAAACCTATCATCACAAACTAACAAAATATAACTAACTACAACCAAATTTAAATTGACACCGCTTCAAAAGGAGGTGTAGGTAACAACCAAATCTTGGTTCCAATACTCGCAACCGTAGTAAGAAAACCTCCAATATACCATAATACATGAATAAACGCTCCAACAGCTGAAGCAGCAATAGCACAACACAATGTAAAATAAACCTGCAAAGGAACGCGTCCATTGTTGAACAAGATTGGGAAATGGAGAATGAAGTAAACGCGTCCATTGCGGTTTTCGATGAGATGAGAAAATGTTGCGAAGTATAGAACAATTGCGATTGATTGGGGACTAAGAAAAAAGAGGAAGGATATGGGAATTTATAGTGTGTTGGAGAGAGACCGCCAAATTTCTACTTTATTCTATACCTGATCCGTAATCCTAACGTTTTTGGCATTCATCTATTCATCTCCAAACTCAAAATTTTGTTTCATTTATTATATCTCAACCAATTTTGATTTATCCCTTTTAAAAAAATTATATTTTAATCTTCAATAAAATAAGATTCTCTCAAAATTCGCATATATGACGTTTGACGTAATTTTTTTTAATTTTTTTTTAATTTCACGTAGAAATTCAATTATTTTTTATTTTTTATTTTTTTACTTTTATTTTTATTTTTATTTTTTATTTAAAATTTTTTATTTAAAATTTATATACATTTTTTAAATATTTTATTTTATTTTTCATTTTTATTTTCTCCTACTAGGACAAGTTTATTGTTTTGTTTTATTTATCTCATACTAACTTAATACATAATTTTGTGTAATATTTAATTTTTTTGAGAGGTACTTAATTTTTTTTTGGTGGTCGAAAATATGAATCTAATAGTATACATGATCGAAAATATAGTATACACGTGAGTAGAAAATACGAATCTAATAAATTAATAGTTCAAATACATTGTATTTTGTTGAGGTTTATTTTCTTCTTAAAACAAGTAATATATAAAGGGGGTATTAGGGATATTTAGAGATGACAAAGCGGGCGGCCTACCCCATTTAGCCTCGTCCCGTTTAAGTCCGTTCTAAAGTGGGGCGGGGCGGGACAGACCAATATAGGAATCTGAGCTCAAAAGTTAAGTTTGCTCCGTTTACTAACGAGTTGGCGGATTTGTGAGTCGGTCCGCCAATTTTTAATTTTTTTAATTTTATAATTTGATTTAATACATAATTTAGAAGTTTTTTAATTATTACCAAAGAGGTCGATAAAGAAATTTTTTTAACAACGCATAATAGAACTTTAAGATATCTTAAGTCCAAACTATTCAAAAAATTTAATAAATAAAGACCAATTACAACAAAAAAGACTAAACTCAAGCACAATAAAAAATATCAAAATAAATAAACAATAAATATCATCTTAATCTTATATAAAAACTAACTATTAAAAGAATCCAATTTAGAATTTACACAAAACCAACAATGATAATAATAACATTGCATAAAACACTACGGTGCATGAAATAGTAATGCGTAAAATATCAACACTGAATTTTTTCACTGTTTACATTATATAGACTATTATATTGAGTTATTGATTGATTCTTTAATAGTTAAATCCTAAATTTGTCACACATATACACTAATCAAATCCTTCATTTTCATAAAATCAACATCTATTTCTAAAAAAAAACATCTAAGCTAATATATTGAAACTTAATAATTATGCATGTCATACATTTTTTCTTTCATTTCAATCATTTTCAATCAACGCATGTATTAGAAAACTATAGAAAGAACGTTATGATTATAATTCAATTTGTCTGTATAATAATTTATAATACAATCCTAAGAGATAAGTGTTACTTTTATAATTAAAGTTGTTTTAATTCTTAATAAAAAGAGTAAAAGTTTTAACAAAAAATCCGCAGGGAAAACCCGCCCCACGCCGCCTCGGCCCGCTTTTTAAGAGGGTTAGGCAGAGCGGACCAACTTAATATGCCGATTCGAAAACCTCAGCCCAGTCCTCCTAAAATGGCGGGTCAAACGGGTCAACCCGGCGTGCCCAACCCGTTTTGCCACCCCTGAGGATACCTAACGCCACTTACAACAACAAGATTCCAAACTAAATGCATCATATTTAAAATATACAATTGGGTCCTTATATAAACTACTATATTTATCTATCTTCAATAACTAATAATTCAGAATACCTATGAGAACCTAATAATAATACCCAAGTAATAACAACTTAGACTAAATATTTTAGAGACTAATTAATTTTATACTATCACCCAATTAGAAAAATATGCAAGAAATAGTTATTAAAACACGCAATTGGGTCCTTATATAAAAATATATAAAAAATAAAGAAATAGTTATTTTAGAGACTTTAATAACTATTTCTTTCATATTTTTCTAACTGGGTGATAGTGTAAAATTAATTAGTCTTTAAAATATTTAGTGTAAGTTGTTATTACTTGAGCATTATTATTAAGTTCTCATAAGTATTCTGAACTATTAGTTATTGGAGATAGATAAATATAGTAGTTTATATAAGGACACAATTGTGTGTTTTAAATATGGCGCATTTAATTTGAAATCTTGCTAGTGTAAGTGGAGTTAAGTATCCCTAATACTCCCTTTATATATTATTTGTTTTCAGAAGAAGAAAAAAAGCTCAACAAAATACAATGTATTTGAACTACTAATTTATTAGATTCGTATTTTCTATTCACGTGTATACTATATTTTCGATCGTGTATATTATTAGATTCGTATTTTTGACCGTCCAAAAAAACAAAATTGAATACCTACCAAAAAAATTAAATACCACATGAAATTAATGTATCAAATTAGTATGAGATAAATAAAATAAAACAATAAGTTTGTTCTAGTGGGAGGAAATAAAAATTAAAAAAAATATTTAAAAAAGTATAAAAATATATATAAAAAATAAAAAATAAAAATAAAACAAAAATTTAAAAAAATTCAAAAAAAGGTAAAAAATAAAATATAAAATATATAAAAAATTTAAAAAATAATCGCATTTCTACGTGAAATTTAAAAAATAAATAAAAAATAAATAAAAAAAATTGAAAAAAATAAATAAATAAAATCACGTCAAGCGTCACGCTGTAGATTCTGCTGGAATCTTGATCCAATGTCAAGTTTGAGATAATCTTATTTTGTTGGAGGGTTAAAAGAAAAAAAAAATTAAAAGGGAGATAAATTAAAAATCATTACTATTATAAGGATAAAATACATTTAACCCTTTAAACCAATTTGATTTTAATTTTCAATTTATTCATTAATAAATTAATATAAATCAAATGATGTAAAATTAGAGGTGGTTATGGGTACGATACGCACGAATATTAACTCACAAGTATTTAATGAATATTTTTATTGATACTATTATTTAAATTTATTTATTTTTAAATAATATAATTTTTTTTCTTAATAAAAGACAAAAAAGTTATAATTTTAAATTTAATACATAATAATAATAATAATAATAATAATAATAATAATAATAATAATAATAATAATAATAATAATAATAATAATAAATAAATAAATAAATAAATAATAATTTCATTTATTTTATTTTTTCTTTTACCAAATATTTATATAAAATATATTTTAGACCTATATCATCAATTATGTTTTCACCCTTTTTTATAGATTTTTACAGAGCGAAGTTAAAGAGAGCAGGTATATCCATTTATTACTTTTATATAAAATTGTGTCAATTAAATTTAATTTAAATGTTCAATAAAATAATAATTTAAATGTTGATATAAGACTGTTTTTAATTAGGTAGTTTACTTTTAGAAGAAAAAAATTTAATTAAAAGTTTACTATTTACATACATTTTTAATGTAAACAGTTTTTATAAATCAATTGTAACGATTAAACTATTTAAAATATGAGTTTAATAAACATGTATTGTTGGTTAAAAGAAAATGTATATAATTGTTTAATAAAAAATTATCAATTTATCTAATTATGTAAACAGTGTAATTTGATGAGATATACGTCTTTTATTGGATGACGATGTAGTTAATGTATATTTTAATTTTTTTAAAAATATTTGACATTTATTTAATGTACATAAATAACCGTGGTCCACATTAAATTTATAAAAAAAAAAACTTATTATGTTGTTCTAAATTAGAAGTAAGAAAATATTTTTTTTTTATAAAAAAAAAATTTCTATCAAAATAATTATTTTTAATATAAACTTAATATAAATATATTTAATTTATTTTCTCATTTTCTCTATAATTAATAATTAATAATTGATTTTTTATATTTTTCACATGAATTATTTTTAAAATGCATAAAAAAAATTATACTTGTGTTCCTTAATAAATATAAAAATTAAAACTGAGGAAGTAACATATAACAATTAAACTCAATTGAATAAATTATACTTGATTTTATTTTATTTTTCTTCTAAATTGAAACTGAGGAAGTAACATATAACAATTAAACTCAATGGAATGGATGGAGGGAGTAACATATAATAGTAAAACTTACTTTTATGTGTTATAAGTTGGTTAGCGATCTATAAGATTCAGTTCCATCCATAATCTCATTTTAATCAAGGTATCTTAGTAATTGAAATACACGTCAACCCTTCTTCATTCATGAGCGCCACATAAGAGCATGTATTTCCTTTATCCAAAGGCACCGCCCCTCTTATAAATGTGTGATTTTAATATGATTCAACTAATACTTGAAATATTTTACCTTAATTTCATACTTACATGAGTGAACAAACATATATTTGAAGAAATTTCAACTCCTTAGATAACTCTTTTAAATTTGGACTGAACAAACAATCTGATTGACAAAA